TCCCTGGCTCTGCGGTTGCAGACTCACATCCCCACGCTTGCCTTTCTGTTTGTTTGGTTTTATGTGTATTGGTATTTTGCCTGCCTGTATGTTTGTGCATCCCATTTGTGCAATGCCAGGAGGCCAGAAGATAATGTTGGGTCTCCTAGGAAGACTGGAGTTATAGACGGCTATGAGCCACCAATGGGGTGTTGGGTACTGAACCAGGGTCCTCTGAAAGAGCCACCAGTACTCCTTAACTGCTGACCCATCTCTCCAGCGCCCGTCCTGGCTTTTTTTTACGTGGGCCTGTATGATCCAAACTCAAGTCCTCATCCATGCATGCATAGCAAGCACTTTCCCAACAGAGCCGTCTCTACAGCCTCTTGATAAAAACTAGAAGCATCTGATTTTGTCACAAGCATGTAGGTGCTCTCCTGGGAAGAAAGCAGAGAAGGCAGAGCTGAGCAGAGAGCTGCATCCTCATCCTCCTGTGGCTGTCAATTTGCCCCTCAACCTTTGGGTACCTTTCCGGCCTTCTCTCAGAATAAGTAGGTTTACTTCAAGCTCTATGCATGGCTCTAACAATTATCTGATTTTTTTTCCCTAGTGAAGATGATGGGGGATGGTGAGCAATACTGGTAAAATCCCATGCACTGAGAGTTAGCAAACCCAGTGAGAAACCACACCTCCCAAGGGATCCCAATCAGAGTTTAGAGTTGTTTTCCTCTGGCTCTGGCTCTGTCTGCTGTGTGAGAATGTCACTTTCCCTACCCTCCAGTTGCTTCCCAGATACTTGGTAGACTCCCTGAGGACATCTCAGCTCGAGCCCCTGAAAACAGTCTCCATGACTGGAGGCATTGTGCCAGCCGCCACTAACCAGGTGTTAGATGTGCCCCAGGGAGCCTATAAGAGTGCTCTGGGGATGCATCCCAACTCTAGAACCCTTGCTTTGATCCCCCAGCCTCTCCGTCCCTGCAGGTTAGCGTGGGGCCTCACCTACGGGCTAAGGAGCTTTGCTTTGTGACATGCGGCGAAGAGTGTGGTGACAGAAGGGATGTGGGATCTGCTCTGTCCTGTGCCCGCCCATCAGGAGGCGAAGCCTTCATTTCAGGGAGGAATCCTCCTCCCACAGCTGTTTAAGAACTTGAGCTCTGCCCACCTTCAGCACCGCTTCCGAGGCTACTCTGCTCACTGCTAGCTAGCAGGAGGAGGAGAAGGCCTGGAGATGCGCACACACACTGCCGCAGCTCACGCTCCCCGGGTGAGAGGTGGACACTTAGCCCCACACACCCTCAAGGGAGCTGAGGAGCCAGGCGCTCAGTCACCTTCATATGCCTCTCCTCCACTGCCCTGGATGTCTTACTGCACTACGCCAAGTAGGTGAAGGCATCATTGGTCAGTCTGACCAGCCTTCCCTAAGCAGCACCTTTTCTTGACCATAAAAGGAACTTTTTGAGAGCAAGTGGTGGTGCCCATCTTTAATCCAAGAACTCAGAGACCGACACAGGCAGATCTCCACGAGTTCAAGGCCAACCTGGTCTACAGAGCTAGTTCCAGGACAGGCTGCGCTATAGAAAGAAGCCCTGTCTCAAAATAACACACAAACAAAAAACTTGACTAGATCTTTCTAGTTCTTCCTCAAGCCACTCTTAACAAATGGCCCGTCTTCTGCTGCAGACCAGAGACAGGGTCTACCTCCTTCAGTCCTCTTCCCTACTTCCCTACATCTAGACCTCTTCTCTACACAGCATATTTTTTCCTTCCGTTTCCCTTTGTCCTAGCAGAGAATGCACGCTTGCTTCTTCCTTGGAGGCTTTCTTCTTTTTACCTACATTCCTTAGATTATTCTTTTCTACCTCATCTGATACTGAATCTCTCATAATTTCAGTTTTGTTATAATCTCATTAAAATATTAAAAACCTGTGGGCCAAAATTGCTGGCTGTGTTTCTTGCCTTTTTTTTTTTTAATTGCATGTATTTGTTTATGTGGATATGTGTGTACTTGTTCCTGTTTGTGTAACAGAACAAATGTGGAGGTCAGAGGTCAATTTACAGGATGAAGTCACTTCTTTCTCTCCTATTGTGGAGGTACTGGAGATTGAATTCCGGTCATCAGGCTTGATAACAAACTCCTTTATTTTTTGAACCTGTCTTTTTCCCTTGACAAGTAGGTAGTAAAATTGGATACAGTTGTATCAGTTCATGTCACTGCTAATGATGGCACCTCAGTCCTTAGGAATTAACTATATTATGTTTTATATGAAAGAGAGTTCGAAAGTGTGTGCGTTCAACTTGGTGCTTATGGGTGTGCATATTGCCTTGTTGGGCAATTTATCTCTTAGGAATCACAGCTATAGTATCACACTGAGTGATTATAGAGCAGGGCGGAGTAACACAGACTTGCTAGGCTACAGCAAGTACTGGCAGTTCAAGACTCTGCTGTGAAGAGGAAGGAGGAGGGAAGGACTTGGCATCGTATGAGATATAAGTAATCTAGAGATGGTTTAATGTATACAAGAGGACGTGCACTGGTTACAGTGAGTTGCTTTATAGGTGAGGCTTGAGTGACAGCAGGCTCTGAATCTCAAGGGATGAGAAACAGTCCCTGCAGAGGCAGAGAGGTCTATATACCTGCAAAGGACAGTCAGGGTGGTGCTTTTCCCAGGGATGACTGCTCTTAACACTAACCCTGCTATTAGTATTTGCATCTGATATAATTTAGGTCTTTGCCTTCACATGTCCTTCGTTACAGTTTTATGAGCTACCTGTTCTGTTTTTTATTTTGTTTTTTAACCTTGACTTCTGGTATTTCCTCTGAGAAAAAACTTAAACAGAGGCTGGGTGGCCTTGAGACGCAGTTTTCATAAAGCTTTGCCAAGTGATCATTCCATGTAAAATCCCAACCAGATCTGTTACTGTGACAATACGGCAGCACGTTTCCAAGGCTAACTTTCTCTGTGGTTGCTCCAGTGAACAGCACTCACTCGCTGAGTGACATTTAGTAATTGCATAAGTTGACGCACATTTAAGGTCCATATTTCTGGTAAGGAAAAAACCCACTTGCATTCAAGAGAACAGATTGTCAAGGAATTTGTTCACAAAAGACAAATTCATACTATAGAGTTTTGTTTATATAAAATTATAGTTAGTACGAGGCATGATGTCTCATGCCTGTGCTCTCAGAAAGCTGAGACAGGAGGATTGTCGCATGTTTGAAGCCACTATGGGCTACAAAGTAAGGCCTGTCTAAGAAAAATAAAATAAAATAAAATACTGTTCAGGCCACAGGAGGAAATTTCTGCAATGTACTGTTGATGACATAGTTTGGTGATGGTTTAGTTTAACTTCAAAGGAAAACCTTTTCTTCCACTTTAAAAAAAAAATGACCTTAATGCTGGAGATTTGGCCCAGTAGATAAGAGCACTCACTGCTCTCGGAGAGGATCCGGTTCAGTTCGTGATACCCTTATGGCGGGCTCACAATCACGTGTACCTCAGTGTCCAGGGTGCTGTTGTGCCGTTGGTACTGCTGAGAAATGTCAGGGCACCCACATCCTAGGCAAGCCCTCCACCACTAACTACATCCCCAGCCTTGAGTTACAGTTTGGTGTTTTCTGTGACATAAGCCAAGCGAACGTCTATCTCAAAACTGAGTAGTTAATAAGGACATATTAGAACAGGGCCCCACACTCCAGGATTCATGAAAATGCCACCATGCGACCCATTACTGTAAGTGCTAACTTTAAAGAATTTTTTTTTTTAACATGGCACAGTATTCTAGCTGCTTATCAGGGCACTGGTGTGGTTGGGAATGAGGGGAGCAGTGGGTTTGCCTGGGCTCCTCCCGTGTTCCCTCTGTATGTGGCTAGCCCATCCAGAATCAGCCCGCCTTAACTATGGCAAAAGCAATTGCTTTTCCCAACTCATCGTGTTGCTCTGGGGGTTAAAAGCATTGTTTCTATATTATATACTTAGCAGTCTCAAGCCCAGTGGGTGTGGGGTTGTGTATTTTCTTATGTTGTTGAGGAGGAAAACAACAAGCAAACAACAATAAAAAAAACTGAACCTACTTAAAAGAAAATGTATGTGCTGGCACTGAAGAAAAGCCGTAAGTTTGGCAGAAGTTGGTGAGTTTAAGAATAATTCATCTGGCATCTGCCTATGAAAGGCCGTAGTGCCAAGAGACAGCAGAGGGTGAGGGACTAGGTAGGATGCCCTCCTTCAGCAGACAGGAAATCAAAATTTCCCGAACTGCTTCTGTGGGATTGGAGTGGAAGAAGCAACTGTCCTTAGGTACTCGACTGAGTGACAGGTTTTATGGATTTGTCATTAACGAAAGTAACAGTCCTATGCTAGTTCTTTGGCGTGTGAACAAATTTTGTGCATGAAAAAAAGAAGGCAAAATTTTACGTATTTACTGGAGGCAAGGTCTCTATGCAGCTCTAGCTGGCATGGAGCTCGCTCTGTGAGCCAGGTTGTCCTCAAGCTCACAGAGATGCCGTCTCTACCTCCCTGGTACTAGGATTAAAGACGTATGTCATCACGCCCAGATAAAGGCAGAGCTCTAAGGACTCATGAGCACTACCTGTCACCTGTCTTGTGCTGTGTTATTTATGTGTACATTACATGGTTCTTTGATTCTGGCTGCTCAGTTACATTGTATCAGGACTCCAGATTTGTTGTTGACTCTGTATCCCAAGATTCTTGGTGTAGTCATGGCCCAAATTTACACATAAAGCCTGTTGCAAACTGAACCACCATCCTCTGCATTGGACCTCATTGTATTACATATCCGGAGACACATGTACATTTACATAAAATTATTCAGAGCAAATAATTTCTTTTTTTAAAAATATAGTCCCACGCTGTAATCCAGGCTGCTATGCAATTCACTGTGGAGCACAAACTTATAGGGAGTCCTCCTGCCTGGGCATCCACAGATGCTGGGTTTCGGGTGTGAGGAACCAGGTCCAGCAATCGCCTCAGCCAGTTGGCTCATGAGTGCTTTTATGACTCCAGGTCCGCTGGATGATGTATTGGATCGTCTTTGCCCTCTACACTGTCATTGAAACGGTGGCCGATCAGACGCTGGCATGGTAAGTTCCACAGTTCTGAGGGACTCAGGTGCTTTCCAGTACCCCGAGTTCTTATCCCGTGCTTGCTTTTTCACTGTGAGAAATAGATCAAGCAGCCTAATTACCCAGCATCCTCTTCTTCCTCTGTCTTCCCCGTGACAACAGTGCTTTCTGTGGAGACCGCCCTCATGAAGGCAGCTCACTGAGCTAATTCCTGCCCACCTCCCTCTCCCACTAGCATCTTAAAATAGAGAACCTGGCTGTCATCATCTGCTTTCCACACTCATGACTTCAGACTGTTTTTCTCCATGGCTTCCGAAATGACTCTTCTCCAATCCGTAGCATCTGTCGTAGCCCTCCCTCCCCTCCCAGCCCTGAAGCTCTGAGGCACGAACGGTGAGACAGCACGTCAGCAGCCACGCGGACACCCACCCACTCGACGGCAGCTCCCTGGATCTCCATCCAGGCAACACGAGGCATAATGACAACACGTTCGTTCCCTCATTGCGTTCACAGTTTATAGAGGACCCATACTGAAGGACTCGGATCTCCTCGTGTGGCATCTTGGAGTGCCTAATGGCATCCAGCCATGTCGTTAGAGAGGTCTCCTTTTTAAGAATGAAAATCTGAGATCTTGTCAGTGTTGCCGCTTCCCATGCGTCAGAGACAGGAGCTAAAATCAACCAAGTTATCCTTTCTTTACCTGGGCTGCCAAATGCAGAGCGAGAGAGACAGAGAGAGACAGAAAAAGACAGAGAAAGATCAAACCTTGGTACCTATAAGTAACGACTTGAACTCAATGATTCCTTTCTCTTCCTTCCTGTGCCTGCTTTACACCATTTCCTGTCTCATATTCTCATAGACTGTTATAGCATTTTATCACATGGATTGTAGGAAAAGTATATATCATCAGACTTCAGTAGTCCTTTTTTCTTTCTTTTCTTTTTTCCTGAAACAGATCTCACTATGTAGCGCTCACTGGCCTGGAATTGGCTGTGAGCCAGGGTAGCCTGCCTCTGACTCCTAAGTGCTGGGATTAAATGAATGGCTCACCATACCTGGCCAGACTTAAACATTTTTTTAGGGGGGGAGACAAGTTGAGACAAGGTTTCTCTGTGTATCCATGGCTGTCCTGGACTTGCTTTTTAGACCAGGCTGGCCTTGAACTCACAAAGATCTGCCTGCCTCTGCCTCCTGAGTGCTGGGATTACAGGCATGTGTCACCTTGCCTGGCCTGACTTAAACATTCTTAATCTGTATGAACTACTACAAATTTTTCTCTCTCTGTCTCTCTTTCCCTTCTCTCTCCTTCTCCCTCCCTCTCTCTCTTTCTCCCCATCTCTGTCTCCCTCTCTTCTCCCATCCTACCCTCTTCTTCCCTTCCCTTCTCTCTTCTTCTACCATACCTTCTTCCTCTTCCCCCTCCTCCTGCTTCCTCTCTTTCTCTCTCTCTGTGTCTCTGTCTCTAACTTTCTGATTTTCTGTTTCTCTCTCTCTCTCCTGATTCTTCCCCTCACCTCCACCCCCCACCTCACCAAGGACTTCCTATATGCTCAACATATACCGATAGCCAGACCCTACCCTCTTCCATTTTTCTTTTCTCATTTGAAATGTTTTCTTTGAGGCTGGAGAAATAGCCCATTGCCTGTAACTTCAGTTCTGGGGCACCTGATGGCCTTTTCTGGTCTCCACAGGCAGGCTAACGCACACACAGCATACACATATAAATGTTTCCTTCCCTTTATCTTTATTCCTTTCCCTGTTGATTTTGGAGTAGACTTTTGAGAAATTTCTTTTATTTTTTTAACTGACAGACAGATTGTCAACCATTCGAGGGTCTTTGATTTCATAGTCCTTCTTTCTTCTCTTTCTTATTCATTCATCTGTTTTGAGACATGATCTCAAGTAGCCAAGGCTGACCTTGAACTCCTGATCCTCCTGCCTCTCTCTTCTAAGTGCTAGTTACGGGCATGCACTGCCATGTGTGTTATTTTTTTAGTGCAATGCTAGGGGTCAGTTTTTCATGCATTAGTAGGCAAGCCCCTTTGCCAGCTGAGCTACATCTCAGGCCACACTTCTTTTTTCTTAAGACTTCCTTCTTTCTGATTTCAAATAGAGCTTACATGCATTACAGAAAAATACAGAGTGTTGACTGTTAAAAGTAGGGCTGGCCAGATGGTTTATTCTAAAATGGTGCTTGCAGCTGGCTCCTGAAAGTTGTCCTTTGACCTCCACACATGTGCCATGGTGTTCACGCCCACCCATACAACATGCGCACTTGCATGCGCACTCAATTGAAGTTTGGGGTTTTTTTGGTTTGGGTTTTGGTTTTGGTTTTTGTGGTGTTTTTGTTGTTGTTTTCTTTTTGGTTTTTGGTTTTCAGTACTGAAAGTCTATGCACTGCAGCACAGAATATTTGCTGACTGCACAGTAGCCACTCCTCACTGGCCCTGCCTATCTGCCCTACCACAAGAACTCAGGCTTGGGGCTCATTCCATCCTGGTGCCCAGCAGTTCTCTTACACTATATGACTTAGCTTTTAGTGTGGCAGCAGGCAGCCCTGCAAAAACACAGTGGGTTAGAACAGCAGACATCGATGTTTTGCTTAAGTGGCCTCCAGGCAGGTGTTTGGCTGCCGCTCTGCTGGGCTCAGCTCCATTTGTGTCTTCATTCAGAACCAAGGCTGAAGAAGAAAGTATTTCCATGGCACAATCGGAAAGCAAGAGGTTGGGGGAACTGAATGAGTGTCAGAGAGCAGTTAAGACTCGTGTCATCTGTCACATTTATTTGTGTTGGCCATTCACATCACATGGTCCAGGGTTGGGAAAGTCACTCCACACACAGAAAAGGCACCACATGGCCGTGGGCACTGAACTAGCTTCCAGCCCCCCTCAGTGGTAAGTCCTCTTACCTTTCATCTGCAATTGGAATTTGGAGAGAAGATTGTCAGGGGACTTCTGAGAAAGACAGGGAATGAATGCGCACATGGGACAGATGAGGTTGTCCCTGGTGTCAGTAGGTATGTCACATACTTCCGGGGCAGTCCCCAGCTGCCACGTCTAGACGCTACGTCTGTCCTTTCTGAGCCACTGCAGCCAGTTCAGGTGCTGTCCTTGGTCAGGTGCAAGGTTTCTGCACAGGACCCTTGCAGCCTTCAGTCAACTCATCTATGACTGAGTGTGATGAACTCATCAATAAATGTCACGTGATTGTTTCTCTTCTCAGCAGCTATGACGTGTGGAAACAGGCGCAGTGATTTTATGGTTTCCACGTTATTTGTTGTTTTGCCTTGTACAGAATTCTCTTTCTGATTGTTTCTTTGCTTTGCTTCGTCTTGTTAGGTTTCCCCTGTACTATGAGCTGAAGATCGCCTTTGTCATTTGGCTGCTGTCGCCCTACACCAGAGGGGCGAGTCTAATTTATAGAAAGTTCCTTCACCCTCTGCTTTCTTCAAAGGAAAGGGTAAGGTGTATCAATTACTCCGGTCCACACGCTGTCTTTCAGGAATGTGTGTCAGCGTGTGTTAGGACAGAGGCTTCTTAACATTCTGAATAAAACTAGCCAGGCGTAATGTGCACACCTTGGGAGGCAGAGGCAGGCAGATCTCTGAGTTGGAGACCAGCCTGGTATACATAGAGAGTTCCAGGCCAGCCGGGATTGGATAGTAAGACCCTGTCTCAAAGCAAACAAACAAATCTGAATAAACGAACATGTGTGGACTCTTTGCCAGTTTCTGTTTTTAAGTCAGGATCTCACTACATAATCCTGGCTGGTCTGGAATCCCCTAAGTAGACCAGGCTGGCCCTAAACTTATAAAGATCCGATTATTCAGAGGGAAACCACATTGAGGTGTTTGTTTGTTTGTTTGTTTGTTTGTTTGTTTGTTTGTTTTTCCTACTCGGGGCTTCATGTAGCCCAGGCTGGCCTTGAAATTACTGTGTTACTGAAGCTAACCTTGAACTTCTGCTCGCCATGCCCCTCCCTACTGCGATTTCAGGGGTGAGCTACCACACCTTATTTTACTATTAATTTTTTTTCCCCCAGGAAATTGATGATTATATTGTCCAAGCGAAGGAAAAGGGCTATGAGACAATGGTGAACTTCGGACGTCAGGGCTTGAATTTAGCAGCTGCAGCTGCTGTCACAGCAGCAGTGAAGGTAAGTTTGTCCTTTTTAGCCAAGGTCTTCCCATCAGCACATACAGAGAGGAAGCTAGTTTTATTTTAGATCATTATAAAACTGTGACTGAATTTTGTTACGTATTTATTCTAACACTGGAATAAACAAGTAGGTAATTTTAATATTTTAACACTTCATTTTCTATGCTACTGGGGAGTCCAGAGCTCTTAATTGATAATGAAATTAGAGGTAGCTAATAAAATATACCTGGAAATGTCATTTTGGAGTATAAATATCCCCCTTTTAACCTTGAAATCATTTTGCTAAGTCACTTGAAGTAGAGATGACCATTCTTTTCTCTGTGTCTTTGGTGTTTTTCTCTCGCGCGCGCTCTCTTTCTCTCTTGGTGACACTGCCATGCTAGGATTTCTGGCTTACTTCTACACCTCTACTTCAACCAATTTGAGGTAACTGATTATTCTAAATAAAGCATGTTAAAAGTTTGCTCTTAGAGCTTGGAATTTTACTTAGCGAGTCACTAATGTTGTTGCCACTGTTCTTTCAAGCCGAGTTACTGATTGAATGCCTTCTCTGGAAACTGTCCCCTTGGCTTTCAGGCTTCTTTGCATGAAGTAAATGGTGTGGCTTATTCTCAGTAGCAGAGCATAACTGATTTTAGTGTGTGGTATGTGGGAAAAAGAAAAATACAGACTTCACAATCAGAAAGTGCTGACTGGGACCTTTGGGGTCACTATGAGCAGTTGGCTAATTTGTGTGTACCTTGATTGTCTTGTGTATAAAACAAGGGTATGAGGGTGACGTGTCTCTGGCATACATGATGGCTCAGCACTTGTTCATAGTGGGAACCAGGGAACCTTAATACTGTGCAAATGGCTTACTAATATGAAATAAAATGGGGTGATTAGTATTTACTTTCCAGTCAAGCTCTTTTGTTGCTTGTTGTTGTTTATTTTAATTATATGTGTGTCTGTCCATGTGTGTCTATGTGGATATGCAAGAGAGTGCAGGTGCCCATGGAGACCAGAAGCCTGTGTGTGTGTGTGTGTGTGTGTGTGTGTGTGTGTGTGTGTGTGTGTCCCCGTCCGAGTGTGTTGTGGTTAGGGGATATGCAGATGAGTGCAGGTGCCCATGGAGAGCAGAAGCATACCGGCAGTTGTGAGCCTCCTAAAGTGCATGCTAGCAACTGAAATGAGGTCTCTACAAGAGCAGCGGCAAGTGCTCTTAACTGCTGACCCGTCTCTACGGCTCAGGTTGGGCTCTGTTTAGCTGAACTCTGCTATGGAGAGACAGAGCTGAGTGAAACAGTGATTTTACGGAATTGCAGTGGTGAGAGTCTCCTTACCTGGGGTCACGTTCAGTGTCAGAGCCCTTTGCTCACCTATCAAAGTCAGCGCAACCAGAGTGTGAGAAGCCCTGGCGCTGTTCGTAGCAGTGCTGCAGTGAGGGCTGAGTGGAAATTCATTGGCAGAACATACGTCGATAACTATGTTGATAATGGTTATTGATTATTGTACAGTGCTGTGCTGCAGTGCTTACCACTTCATAGTTTCCCTCTTTGTGGGCCTGTAAAGGGTTTTTCTCTCATCAAAGTAAGTGAATAAATGCTAAAACAGTAACATCTTGAGCTTAGTAGAGTCTGCTTTTTTGTTTCTTGCTTAATAAAAATGTGTTGCTGATTATACATCCACCAAAAAGACCACCCAGGAAACCATCCTTCACAGCGAGACCCCGTGAAAGGAGAGGACTGACGTGATCATCAAAGAAAGAGAAATCAGGAGGGCAGTGAGCCTCCAGATCAAAGGGCTGGTCTATCACCCAGCACCACAGGGGGAGAGTGACCATCTCCAATCAGGGCCATTGTATTACTCCCGTCCCCCACACTCCTCACCCCACCCCCACCCTGCCAAACACCAACAAGGACAGAATTCTTAAAGATTTCAAACATTAAAGGCACGTCGTGTTCAAATGATCTAGCATCGGAATAGCAATAAGGTTTTAATTAGTGACAGTGGAAGCATGAAGGTAATGTGACAGCACCCACCCATGATGCCATCCTGTAACTGGGGCCCAAGTTCTGTAATCATCAAACGTGTCAGTCAGGTGTGAAGAATATTTCTTTTTAAATTCTGCACAAGCAAAGTCATAAAACGTACCACTACACATCCTTTGTCAGGGCAGATAGGTTGTATCAAAGCTAAAGAGGAAAAAAAGAAAAGGAAAAAAAATGAAAACAGGTGGGACCTGGGAAGTAGGTTTTCCAGCACAGAAGGGAGATGCCAGAATTTCCCAGAAGGACACTGTGCATCAAGGCTAGGTGTAGACAGCTGGAAGTGGAGTCTATGAATGGAGGTGCCAAGAGCAATACTTCTGAAAGAAGTACAGAGTTGAAGTGTAGAGGGTAGAATGGAATAAACCTGCTGCTGTGCATGGGTGACACCTACCCTCACCATGGATATGCTGTGACCCCTCAAAGAGCTCCCTGGGTGCAGACAGCGTGTACGTATAGCTGTACGGGTGTACCCAGCGTGTAGCTCCCTGGGTGCATATAGCCGTGCGTCAGCCCTGAGCACTGTGGAAATGCACTGGTGACTATGCACAGATTAAGACAACTACGCAAATGAAAACCAAAACCACAGTTATTAACTCTGGGGTCAAAAAAACGACAAAAACTGTATTAGAAGTGAAGTACAGTACTGAAACCTGGCCCAGCCCAGCAGTAAGTAAGACAAAGGATTTAACAGCTCTTACTGTACTGTGCTAAGAAACGGGAGTGGGGGCAGAAGAGAACTTAAACTCTCCCTCTTACAGCACAAGCCAGGGTTTAGAGTGAGTTCATCTCAGGGACGTGGTGACGCGTGGCTTGCTGCTTCACATTTAAGCTAAGCATTATTTGACTTTGCAGGCTGAGTGAATCTGTTTACTTATACCTCAAAGGTACTTCTGAATTTGTCTTATTTAAAACTTTCAATGTGATCCAGCAGATTAAATGTGAACCTTTCAATATGCTTTGAAAACACCTGAGGACTTTGTTTTCATAAATAGGAAAAGAAATCCCAGTGGTTCTCGGTCTGACACTTAGAAATAGTTCCTGATGTGCTTGCCTGCTTGTAAGTGTGCGCCGTGCATATGCCTGGTGCCCACAGAGGCCAGAAGCCGGGGTTGGATCCTCTGGAACTAGAGATAGAGATTGCTGTGCACGACCATGTGGGTGATGGAACTGAATCCATGTCTTCTGTAAGAACAACAAGTGTTCTTAATCACTGAGCCATCTGTCCAGCTCCTGAGACACATTATGTATTAAACCACTTTCTGAGGTGTTTACTGTATCTTGCTGTATATTTACTAATCCTGTTCCTGTTTCATGGAAGTCAGCAACCCTCCTGGTGTAATTGTATCCTCATTCCCTCATTTTGCCATCCTCCCATCCTATATATTGCACATTTAACGTCTCTCTACTTAACGCCTAGTCTAAGACAGGTGCCCATGCGCTAGTGGCTAAGGTAGTTTGGCTCTGTGGCCTGGCTGGGTACATACTCTCTGGCTGTGGCCAGTAGGCCATACTGCTAACTGAAAATGTTAACCCATCTTTTGGCTGCTAAGACCCTCTCTTTTCAAATAATATTAACTCATGGAAGGACTTTTCTATAAAAATGCCACAAAAAAAGCAGTCCTATATCTGCTTCTTCATTTGTGATTCGTGGACTTCACTTGTCTGTTTAACAACTCAAAGTTACCTCTCCACCCCCCTCCCCCAAGGCAGGAAACTACAAATCATTAAAGTCACTGCTACAAAGGAGCCTGTCACTGAAGTTCACTCTCCTGCGTGGTGGTGCTGTGGTCATTAATCAAAAAAGTATCAGTGAGTGAGGTGACGTCACGTTCTCACGATCACTCCATGAGTGCTGGACACTCCATGTTTGGTTCTGTTGTGTCAATAAAAATAGTAGCTGTGTTGAGTACTCCGTAATGTTAGCTCTGTTTGCCTCAACTTACACTGTGCTTATTTTAAAGTGTTTGAAATCAGTTTAATCTCTGGCAACATTAAAAAAATATATATATTGTTACAAAAGAACTTACAGAAGCAGACATTTCATACTGGAACCAAACTAAGAAATATAGGTCAAGATTAAGGAGAAGCTGAAAGACAAATGATAGCAAAATTTGTGCATTGTATAATTTTCTAATAACATGTAGTATGTTAGAAACATCTTTCAAGCTAAAAATTCTTGCACTCTTTGTATGATATTTAGAGAACAGTAATTTCCTGCCTGGGATCCCCAGGTTGAATCACCTGAGCATGTCAAAGAGTAAAGCAGGCATCTAATCAGAGCATTTATTACACCGTAAAGCAATTTTCTGAAAATGTTACTCAGTTCTGTGGCCTCATTACCAGGCATCTGTTCACAAGGTCGCTGTACAAGTTTATTTTGGCTGAGCAAAGCACAAATACATGAAGGACCTTCAAGGATTCTGCTGAGGATGCTCAGCATCCCTGTTCCACATGGGAGATGCAGGTGGCATTGATGTAACTGACCGCCGTCCGTGTGATGAAGGACAGCTGAAGAGCAGAGCTGTTGCCCCTTCAGCTAGCTCTGGATTTACTCTGACAGCCTCTTCTCATTATAGCTCCCTAACACACACACACACACACACACACACACACACACACACGCACACACACAGTTATAGAAATTAGAGCTCTGCAGGTAAAATTGCTGAAATGTAATTGACTTTTTAAACTACCATTATTAGTTTCATATTCCTGACGTCTTGCTCTCAGTTTTAATGACTTTCTATTTGTGAAAGGATTTTGAGATTATTCGGCTCTAGAGTCTCATTCCCTTTTCTGCAGGGAAGGGCAAGTTTAGCCTATTTTCCTGCAGTCCGCAGAGCAGATTGATATAACAGATACTGATTTCTAGAACTTGAATTGTTCTGGAGTTTTCTTTTTCTTTTTAAGTTTGGATTCTGCCACTTATCAGCCATAAGACTGTACGCATCTATATTGATCTGGGTATTACGTATTCTTCTCACCTAGAAAGGGGTTGACATCCAATATCTAAAACCTGCTACATGTCCAGAACGCTGGCTCTCAACTGTACGTGGTTTATGGCCCCCACCAACACCAACACAGGACATTTTAGGTCGTCACAAATAACAAGGAGCCACTTCTGGCACCTTCTGAGCACAGGCCATGGATGCAGATTACTGTCCTCCAGGGCAAAACACTGCACAGACTTTTCAGCTCAGAAGGCGACAGCATTAAGGTTGAGAGACCCTGCTTTAAAGGTGTGATGAGAAAAACAAATTGAAGCAAAAAACCAAAAAAGGTATCCAGAAAAAAACAAATTTAAAAACATACACATAAGAATTTTGTCTCTATATTGTAAGTATTCAATAAATCCATATTACTCTAATCTTCCCAACACTAGGATCCACCATTCACCTAATGTTAATACACCTAAACCCATCCTAGACTTCATCATTTAATTATCAACTGACCAGAGGGGAGGTTCCCCCATATTGAGAACTAAACTTAGCAGCCGTTAAAATGTAACACACATCACAGATATGAGAAATAGAAGTGAATAGCTTTAACAATGGAATGGAATAGTTAAGAACTACAATCCAGATGCTAAAGCATGATAGAATTAGAGCCTGACTCACTATACAGCTGCCCTAGAACTCGGGACCCTCCTGCTCCTGAGTGCTGGGATTACAGGTGTGAGCTACCATGCCGAGCTGTATATATACTTCTGACATGAGTAAGAGTTAAAGTGCTAGAGGATGAATTATCTTGTTGATGGTCATCCCTTTTTCCCGATTGACTGGCAAGCTGTTTCATACCTGCTCCGCCCAGAGTAGCATCAGCTTTCTTATCCTTTTATTTAACATTGTACAAGCCAAATAGAAGAAAGGGGATATAATACTTAATTTAAGCAAAGAAGAAATACCTTTTAGTGATAAATGTGATAAATGTAAAAAATGTTCTTTTTTACCCTCAAAACAGAGACAGAGACGCTGGACTAGAGAGATGGCTTGGCAATTAAGAGCACATACTGCTCTTGCAGAGTCCAGAGTTCAGTTCCCAGCGCCACACTGGATGGCTCACAACAACCTTCAGCCCCTGGCTTCTGTGGGCAACAATGCTCACATGCACGTACCATCCCCACCCCACCCCCAGGCACCCGCACGATTTTAAAAAGCAAATCTTTTGTTTCTTCTTTTTATTTTCTTTTTGAGGCAAGGTCACACTGTGTAACCCTGGTTGGGTCCCCAAGATCACCTTCAAGGGCACGCCAAATGGCCTTCTTTCTTTGGACACCACCTCTTGGAGGCCTGCCAGTAGCTCTACAGGCTCGGGGCATAGACCTTTGAAGGAACATTTACAACCAGAGTCATAATGTGTGGACTTGCATACCATTTCTGTGTGGGTGTGGAGTGGGTAAAACTCAAGAGCTATTGAGAAGATTCACAAAAAAATGAAAGGCAAAGTAAAGAAAATGACAGTTCTGAGGGGGAAAAGGCATCTTTCAGATGAGCATGGCATTTCCTTGCCCTGTGTCTTGTCCTGATCTTTGTTCTAAGTAAATGTTACCTGGTCAAGAGAAAACAAATACAATGAGGTACATCTGATGAGAGTCTTTTAAAATTTATCATTGTGTATGCATGATAGAGGTTGGTACATATGTCAGAGAACAACTTTGTGGAATGGATTCTCTCCTTCCACTCTTACAGGATTCTGGGGATCAAACTCAGGTTGCCAGGCTTTCTTGGAAAGCACCTTTGCCCACTGACCAATCTCATCACCCCAAAATAATTTTTCTGTGCTTATTTATTTGAGACAGGGTCTTATTATGTAACTCTGGCTGGCCTTGAACTCAGAGATTCACTTGCCTCTTCCTCCCAAGTGCTGGGATTAAAGACATGTGTCACCATACCTGGCTCCAAAAATAAGTTTTAAATCCACTTAGTTTATTGGAGAAATGGACTTTAAACATAAAGAATAAAAATATTTTATGTAAAGTAAAATACGTAATTATATATATATATATTAAAATGTTTGTCCTTTATGAACGGATATGCTACACATTAATATACATTGGTTGGTTGTTGACCAGGGAGGTCAGAAGAGGATTATTAGAGCCCCTGGAATTGGAGTTACAGTTGATATATTGTGTGGGTGTTAGGGTCTAGAATTTGCTAAAAGAAAGACCCAGACTTAAGTAGTATGTAAAAGCAAAGAGTGTTTATTCTGCAGAAAATTCCAGCATGCTGGGGTCACTGCCTTCAAAATGCTGGTGACCCTGAGGGGAGACTGAAGGCCCCTTTTAAAGGCAGAAAGGGGAATTCCTGCTGTGGCTATGTGACCTCGGTTGGGGTTGACTGGTGCCCATAGAGGCTCTGTGAATCTGACTGGGATTGGCTGGTGCCTGTGGAGGCTACATGACTGGTCAGGACTTAAGTGCTTTTCAAACCAGTAGTTAAGCAACATTCTCATCCCCAGGCCCGATGTCTTGGCTGATTCTGATTGGTTGCCCTTTTTCTGTGGTTTTTCCTGTAATGCTTAGGCCTGTTCTGTCTACTAAGAAAATGAAGCCTGCCATGGAGTTGGTCAGGCTTATTTATCTAGGTTCTCTCAGGGTGCTGGAAATTGAACCAAGGTCCTCTACAAGAGCAGTGAGCACTCTTAGCCCCTGAGCTTTCTCTCCAGCCCCAACTCTAAACATTCTCATAACAACTCAAAACATATGGTAGAAATACAGAACTAACCTGGGGCGGGGGGGGGGGGGGGCACAGAATGTGGTGTGACATAGCGTGTCACCAGTACCCTAGAGTACTGAATCATGACTTGTGAATCGAAGAGCTGTTTCTTCAGGGTAAAATACAGAAGCGCCCAAATGTTTGTAACACCTTTATCTTTGAAGTTTAGAGATGAACCGTTACGGATGAGTTTCCATGGTAATGTTATAAGTAGAGGCAATCATAAATTCACATGTGTGAGAAGAAATAATCAGTGCAAAAGCCTTGAGACAAGAATTCTTAGTCTAGCTATAAATATAACAATGAATCATCCGTATGCTATGCAGATTGAAAGTCAGTAAATTTAGATTTTTTTTAAAGCTTTATGGTTTAAGGAGGTGTATCTTAAGAGTTCAGATAACCGTCCCCATGAAAACTGTGTGGTGACAGAAACTGTTGACAGCTGTGTGTGACAGGAATACCCTCTGTGCTGGCTGCGCTCTTTCCACTGCAGTCACAGGCACCGTTGACATCTCAGATGCGGCCAGTACAAGTCGGGAACCGCCTTTTTATTGTTTCATTTTAATTAATTTCCATTTAAATGCTTGCTTGTATCAGTCATATTGTTAGGACAAAAATAGGAGCTGGAGAACCCACTCAGTGGTTGAGAACTTCTATTGCTCTTGCAGAGGACCTGGTTCCCTTCCCGACATCCCCATGCTGCCTTGCTGCCTCTACCTCCAGTTCCAGGGTGTCGGTGGCCTCTTTTGGCCTCTGAGGGCACTGACCCACACACTACACATACATCCATGGAGACACCTACTCATACACATAAAGTAAAAATAAGTAAAGCTTTTATAAGAACGAATCAAAATATACTGTGGCGAACAGGCCATGCTAAATTGTTCATTGTCTGAAGATTGTTGCATATCCAAAATTCTTTGGCTCCTAACTTTTTTTCCACCTAGTTCTAGTCAGAGCTGTTACTATTCCTGACCTAAACAGTATCTTTCCCTGAAGAGCTTCTCTACATCATAAATGTTAAGTCCCAACAGGCTAGTTTTACTAACCCCGAATACTGAATCAAAGCTCAGGATTATGGATAGAGAAAATAAAAACAAAAAAACCTTAAAGTTTAGCATAATGTAAAATGCTTGGGATAAAATGTATGGATTTAATGACATACGTTAAAATGCATGAGAAAGAATGGATTAGCGTTTATATAGAAGCTATGTCGTAAAGCAAATATAAACTGTGTGGTATTCACAGCAGAAGATGTGCAGGGAAGTTCTTGATTTTATTTATATAACGGAATGTTACTGTATTTCTTAATAAAGTGTTTTCTTTTCTCCTCCGGTCTCATCACTTCTCTGTTAAACAGAGCCAAGGAGCAATAACAGAGCGTTTGCGAAGTTTCAGCATGCATGACTTGACAACTATCCAGGGTGATGAGCCTGTGGGACAAAGACCCTACCAGACCTTGCCGGAAACAAAGAGGAAAAGCAAGCAAGCCAGCGAGTCAGCAGGTTTGTTGTGATATTCAGGAGCCCTTCTGAATGGAACAGGGGTCGGGGGAAGGGGGGGGTGCTGAGTCATTGTGGTGCTGGAGACACAACATGCCTTCCAGTGTCGCTGTTATCCTTGAGACAGGGTCTCTGCTAGCCTGTGCTCTCCTCAAACTTGCTCTGTAGGCGAGGCTGTCTTCAACTTCTTAATCCTCCTGCCTCTGCCTCTCCAGTGCTAGGATGACGGGTGTATACTACCACACCCAGCAAAATGCACTTAGTTGAACATATGTTTTGGGGTTTGTAATTTGCGTGTTGTCTGTTTTCCACACAGGGTGTCATAGCCCAGGTTGGCCAAGGACAACCGTGAACTTGCTGGTTCTCTTGCTTCTACCTCCCAAGTGTTAAACTGAGGGGTGCAGCACCACAGCTGGTCTAGGGCAAGGCCAGGGATGGATCCAGAGCTTTGTGCATGCTAGACAGGCACTCCACCGACTGAGCTACATTCCCCAGCCCAAGCACATATTTTCAAGCTTTAGCCTCTCCTCTCCAGTTCTCTCAGTCATTGCCTTTTCTGCCCACAGAAATCATGCAGCTATGGGCAGAGTGGTGGCCATTTATGCTCACGTGAGTTTTTAGGAGCTGGGGATGGGGTTCCCAGCTCACCCCTGCTTTAGCTCTAACTGGTCACCAGCAATCCCTGTTCAAATGAGGGACTGACATCTGAAGAGTTTCTCAGTTCAGCAGTCTGTAGTCCTGTGAACAATAAGGATATTGACTCACAGGTGAGAAGTCTTCAGCAGATGACGAATGGTGACTCAAAACCAAAATAAGATCAGTGCACTGGGAAATGTGTTGAGATCACACCGTCTGATCTCAGCACATGAGCTGACTTGTAGACATGTTCTGCAGAAATCACAAGCATGCCCTAGTTGCTGTGCTTTGTGCCTCGATGAGGTCTTGAAAGCACGCACGTGAACAAGCACAGTCCCTTCATCATTGGATCATGGATGTAGCATCTTCATTTGTGTCCAGGCTAAGATGCTGAGGACATTCTTTATTAGAGTGTTAACCATCCTTTCAAACACTAAGTTCTCTTTAGAGGGAGACTAAAAATCATCATTTTTAAGTCAAGCTAATTTTAAAAATAAATTAATAACCCCTTCCTTTTTCTTTCATTTTAGAAGACCAAGTTTTGTAATGTATCCCAACCTGGTCTTGCACTCTTGGCAGTCCTCCTGCTTCGGCTTCCTAAATGTTAGCTTCCACACCTAGCGACAGCTCCTCTTCGGCAAGTGAAGCTTGGGGTTGGAGAGACAGCTTTTGGTTAAAAGCACACACTGCTCTTGAAATGAACCCATGCTCAGTTCCCAGCATTTCTTCACAGCTGCCTTGGCTTCAACTCCAGGGGGGTACAACATCTCTGGCCTCCATGGGCACCTGTACATGCACAGATACACATATGTACATATAATTAAAAATAATAAAATTTCGATCTGCTTTCTCCCAAGAATGAATAATGCTTAAAATATTGGCCACTGTCTGAAAGGTTATACTGAATCTAGCCATTGGTAAAAATAGTGCTTTTAAGATTGAAGACCTGAGGCTCAGCTGTGGCTCAGATAGAGCCTAGCATATAGACAGTCCTGGGTTCCATCCCCAGCACTGCAGAAACCCAGCTTGGTGGCATATACCTGTAGTGTGAGCACTCAAGAGCTGGAAGCAGGAGAGATCAGAAGTTCTTGGTCATCCTCAGCTACATAACAATTTGCAGCCAGCCTGGGCTTCATAAGAACCTGTGGCAAAACAGGAAAAATAAAAATTTACCATTCAGGAAGGAAAAACGTCCTGAAGAGTTCTTGTTATCTAGGCAAAAAGGTGTTCATCTTTATTCCCAGCACTTAGAAGGTAGAGTCAGGTGGATCTCTGGGTTTGAAGCCAGCTTGGTCTACATAGAGAGTTGCAGGACAGCCTGAGCTACGTAGAGAGACCCTGTCAAAAAAGAAGAGAAGGAGAAAGAAGGAAGGAAGGAGGGAGGGGGAGAGAGAGAGAGAGAGACAAATGCACAAGAAGGTGCCCCTTGTAAATTGCTGGGGGGTTGGGGGGGCTTGGGGAGAAGGGCTCAGATTTTCAACAGAGCCCATCTGGGCAAGAAATGCATGGAAAAGGTTTTTTGCTCCAAAGAAATTCCAAATTAAAATAATATTAATAATAATTTTTGCCCACCAGGTTGTCTTCCAAAAATGTTTTTAATTAGCAGTGCTAATTAAAAATTTGTTAGTGGTAACAAAATACCCCCAACCAGTTGCCTAAAACAATCACAGTCCCTTCCTTTGCTCAGAATGTGTGGTAACTGGGCTGAGCAAAGTAGTTCTGTTCAGCGTCTCATGCAGCTGTGTTCAAACAGCAGCTGGGGCTGGATCCGCACACCCAGAGAAGAACTCACACATGTCAGGAGCTTGGAAAACTCAAGCAGCAGGTGTCGAAAGCAGCGAGGCCTCTCAGACAAGCCTGTGTGTCCTCTTTGTAGGGCGCTCAGTCTCTGAGGGTTGCTGGAGTCACCTGGCAGCTGCAGTTCCCACAGCCAGTGTCCCACAGGACGCTGGCAGAAACCCCACTGTACGCCTTCACTGCATTCTTAGTGGTGATTTGTAGAGGCAGCTACAAAAGCCTGGAGAGTTGAAGGGGAGGGAGGAAGTCAGGGGCCAGCCTCTCTGACTTTGTGTGAGTTTAAAATGAACTAATCGTTTCAGATGACATTTTGCCAGACAAGCATTCAGTACAGGACTCTTCCTCTTATTTCTGATAGCAAAAGCCAAGTGCCTACAAGAACTATTAAACAAAATGGCAGTTTATTAGCCATGAATACTAATGATGTCAGATTCTGAAGGGGGAGAAAAATCAGACAATAAGACAGTGTCTGTTTTGATCCTTTGTTGTAGAGGCACAGTAGTGGTAAGGGGTAAGATATGTGAAATTGTTAAATATCTACACATGCTGGGAAGTCCAGAGGGAATTCTGGACTGTTAACACTGGCTTGTTCTATGTGGTGGGACTTTTTGTTGTTGTTTGTTTGTTTGTTCATGTGTTCTCTTGTTTGGCTGGGGAAATGAGGGCTTGTCTGTTGGTTTAGTTTTAATCCCTTAATCAAAGTCAGAAATAACACAATACTCTTATTTTGAAAAATTAAGTAATACAATGGAAAACTCCCTAGAAATGGCAACCTCTAATTTTTTTCTGATTTATTTTCTTCAGTATACAAGAATAATTTTTTAAACAAATATTTGGCAGTTAAAAGAGAAAAATTAAAATTGCATAAAAGCCTGCTTTGATGACATATAACGGCCTGGGGACTGTCAGCAAGGCTCAGCTGGTGAGCAGAGGCCTTGCACCAAGCGTGGAGACTTAGTCCCTCTTCCAGGACCCACATGGTAGACGGGAAGCGCCCCCTCCTACTGTCTGATCCTGAACAGCACACATGTCCACACATGACCATGCATACACAATCAATACATGGAACTTGGTTTTTTTTAGAGGAGACAGAAGACTAGAACGATGGTTTCGTGGTTAAGAGCAAATCCTGCTGTTGCTAAGGTTCCCAGTTTAGGCCCCAGCACCCGGGGAGCGCAGTCGGCGGCCTCCTGTAACTCCTGCTCCCTCCACGGAGCACCCTCCTCTGGCTCCTGTCATGCACACAGGCCCACACAGAGACACACGTACACATAATGTAAGTTAAAGTAATCTTTAAGAAATAACATAAACCTCTTCAGCATATACCCTGACACCTCTTTAAAGAGAGAGAATGTGGCTTCGTTTTCCCTAAGCAGGAAACAGCTCCCTGTTCCTTTGACTTTCGTCCCATCAGCCTCTGCTGCCTTCTACATTTACTCTTGCTTCTGCCTGGGATGTGCTACTTTTGACTGCTACAGGAAATTAAAAAAAAAAAAAAAAAAAAAAGGATTCCAGACAAAATAATGCCTGATTCTGCTTCCAGATCCTTCTTGATGTCTAGCCTAGCTGTTTGGCAGCCTAAAATTGTCCTTGCCTAATATATAATTAAAGTCATTTATGTTATTATGAGAGTAAAAAGCATATTAGCAACTGTTCACAGTTTGCATTGTAACTCTCGAATTATTTGTGTCCTGAGAGAGCTGACTAATAGACATTTATCCTGTGTCATTTTCCCAACAGAAAAATTCATCCCTGCTTCCTCCTAGGCCCTTATCTTGTGTTCCTTATCTTTATTAGAAAGGGATTTAGAAGTGCTTGGGGCCATGGAACTGCCCCTGTCTTCTCTGCCTCAGACCAGCCCTTGTCTGGCTTTCTCCAGGGGCCTCAAGTTTTGGATCTCAGTGCTAGCCTGATCATCCCCCAGGGCTTGTTACAGATGCTCAGCCTCACCCCAGGCCTGCTGAATCACAAGCCCAGCAGTATGTACTGGCAAGTTACCCAGATAAGACACGCTGGAGTCTGAGGGCCTCTCCTCCAGCGATGGGGTGCTCTTGCTTCTGACTCCAAGCCTGGAATAGTCCTAGACTGCCTCCCGTGCCCCTCTCTCCTAGATGTTTGCACAGTGGTTAGAAATAAGGACTTACATGTCCACGTAATTGGCCTCATGGTCCCTGCTTGACCTTTTGTGCTGGATGTCTTGAAAATTTGTTTTATGGAGTGATTTTTTTTTTCCCAGCTGAAACTTCCCAGGCGTGGTTGGCACTGTAACAGTGTCCCAATGAATGTCTCCCTCCCAACTGTAGCCCCTTTGCATGTTTCTTGGGTTCCCCTGTCATTCCCAATGTTGACCAAGAGTGTGACCAGTGGAGAGGGGCTTTGGCCTTAACTAAAGTCAGGGGCACAAATGGCAGCCTAAACTACAACAGTTGGGTTGTTTGCAATGCCTGAGGTGAAAAGAAACTTCATAACATATGTAATTTTCTATGTGTTTTTGTTGTTTTCTTGTTCCTTTTATTTTTCACAAGGTGTGGGTATTAGCCATATTGTTTGGGAATTTTTGGTTGATAGGGTGGATTTTTTTGGTGTTGTTTGGGTTGGACATTTTGTTTTGTTTTTCCAGACATGGCTTTATTGTGCAGCCCTGGCTGTCCTGGGACTCACTCTGTAGACCAGGCTGGCCTCGAAACTAGAGTTCTGTCTGCCTTTGCCTCCTCAGTGCTGCCGCCAAAGGCGCGCACCACCACTGCCTGACTGGGTTTGGCTTTTTAAATCCTACATATTATTATTGTGTGTGTTTGTGAACTTAGAAGTCAAAGGGCAACTTTGGAGTCATTCTCTCTGTCTACCTTTTTATGTGCCTTCTCAGACTCATCTTGGCCGCCCTGTTTTGTTGTTTTGACATGGGGTCTTACCTTGTAGCTCAGGCTGACCTTAAATACACATCAGTCCTCCTCATCCTCCTCTGCTTCCTGAGTCCTTAATGCTATAGTGTGCATCACGCCTGCTTGTGTGCTGTGTGTTCCTCTGTCACTCTCCACCTTATTCCTTTGAGGCAGGGTCTCTCCCTGGAGACACCTGGAACTCATGTATTTTTGCTAGGCTGACAACCTGGAAAGCCCCAGATCTTGTGCCTTTGTCTCTATCCATGCACTCCTTCCACACTCAGCAGTGGAGTTACAGGGATCCAGAGGACCATGTCCAGACTTTTACTTGATGCTTGTTCAAGTGCTCTTGCCCACCCTCATCCCCAGCCCTCTGGCTTATTTTTTTACATAAAAATATCCATACTGAAATAAGAATGGGCTGCTGGACATGGTGCCTCACTGCGATTTCCAGCCCTGCCTGGGCTACAGAACAAGATTCATCTCCAAAATGAATTAAACAAGTGAGTAAAACTAATCAGGGCGAAGTTCATGGAGGAAATGAGTCTTCTGATGTTTATCTAGAACAGTGCACAAAGCAAAAGTTCACAGGGGTGTGGGAGGAGCAGGAGTGCTTTCCAGATGAGTGGGAGGAGAGACCCCAGAGAGAACCCTCCTGCCAAGCTGATGAAGAGGCCAGCTCCTGGTGCCCTCTGACTAAAGCGCTCATCTTGACCGTTGGTTTAGCCTATGGACTTGCACTGAAAGATGGAGGTGAGCCAACAGATGAAGAAGCAGAGGGGCCGTTCTCGGATGATGAGATGGTGACTCACAAGGGGCTGCGGCGATCCCAGAGCATGAAGTCTGTCAAGACCATCAAAGGCCGCAAAGAGGTCAGTGTGCCGAACGATCTGTGTGAGGGATTTCCTCCTGCTTTGTCAGTGTAGGCATTAAATGCCCAGTGAATGAAGGGTTGGAATAAGAGGGCAGCATCGCAGTTAAAAATCTTATTAGAAGCAGATGTGTTAGGAGGCTCTAGGAACTTTTTTTTTTCCTGGAAATTATGAAGTAGGAAAGTCCTTATCTTGTTCTCTACATAGAAAGTGGCATTCCCACATGTCAAACTCCACAGTTACTGCAAATATCCGTTGCTGTCCTGTACATAAGCAAGGAAAGCTGCTAACAGAATTAACTACAGAGTTTGGCTTTCAACACGTCCGACACGATGATTAAATAGTAGCCTTTTCCTGTAACTGCACAGTGACATGGTGCTAAGAAAATGAAGGAGGAGCTGGGTTCACTACTGGCCCTGCACTCAGAAGAACCTAAGTAATATGTCAGTGTTTTCATCTGTGATTGGGGGTGTGCTACACACACCCATCTTGTTACAGCTACGTTTCTGTAGGTGTTCGTAGTACAGGTGTTGTGAGGGAGGGGCTTTGATGATTGACTGTTTAATTAGTTGATTGGTTGGTTACTTGGTTGATGGATTTGGGTGCTGTACTAGCAGTTGAACCACGGACCCCATGCGGGCTCTGCAGACAGGATACTACTGAGGTACATTTCCAGCACTTTAAGACAAGATCTCAATAAGATCTCAATCCCACACCTGCCCTGAACTCATTCTGGGGTGGATCTCGAACTTACAGTCCTCCTGCCTGGGCCTCCCAAGTGAGGAGAACAATCACTGTGACAATGGAAACCTACCTAATTTTAATGAGTGTGCTTGGTTTTGTTTCTTTTAGTTTAGTTTTAGTTAGTGTTCAAAGTAAGAAATCCCCTTATGGCACTTTCATGCAGTTATTTTGGGTTGCCTGTCATTAATACTGACACTTTTCTTTCTTCAGGTGCGGTATGGTTCACTAAAATACAAAGTGAAGAAGAGACCACAGGTGTATTTTTAGTGTCTGTGAGTCACTTATCCCAAGACAAATAATTGTAACAAATCCACTTTGTTTTCAGGATTTACACTTTAAATCTTAAGACTGTGGCAATGACAGCATTGATTTAATGACTTTAAATAGTTTGTCTCTTTAACAGTCACTTTTAGATACTAACGCTAAGTGTAGTTTTGTAAGGTTTATTAATGTCCCTGTGTATAGCAAAAGTCACAGAGCATCATGTTACCTGATGCCGTCAGCAACATGGAGCACCTGGGTTTAAGGATAAACAGGCCCAGGGTATACTTGAAAAGTCTCCGCTTTGGGATGCACCTTCTGCCGTGCATTGTGTTTACATCTGTCAGTGTCGCAACTGTCACATAAGAGCAGTGACGGCCAGCCAGCGTCGTGACTGTGGGACGGTGACATGTCTTTACGTAAGCCTTAGAAGCTTTCCACCATGAGCTGAAAGTGTTTGAAACATTATTTGAAAACCAGGTGTCCACATGGCACTTTCCTGGCTAGTTTGCACACTTGAAAATTGTTTACCGATTTTACAGCTGTACATTTACTTTAAATTTTATGGATGCCGTCTTTCTTGTTGTCTGTCCTATTCTGACATGTCAGAATCATGCTTTGAAATGCATCATCTCCTTTTGTTATGGTCTGTTTTGTTTGTTAAATTCATTCGACTTACAGTAGAAACACTTAGCTGTTAAATTTTTACTCTTTTGTTTTGTTTTTTGAAATAGTGTCTCTTTTAGCCCAAGGGTGTCCTTGAACTCTTAATCCTCTTCCTTCTTCCACCTCACAGTTGCTGGGATAACAGGTGTATATTATCACACCTGGCTAATTGTAACTGTTTTTTAATTATATTCTTGATGTCTGGGAAGTTATTTTAAACATTAGCCAGTTTCCGTAATTGAATTTGATGTGCTTTTTATCAACAGCTATTGCATTATTTTAGGTTTTAAAACACAGCTCTCATGGAAGAGAGTCACAGACTAGTATAGCCCTGAGTGTTTTCTAACTCATGGACTGCCTAGTGCCCACACTCTGTTCTCAAGCTTGGCAGGGGCAGATGCCATATAACACAGGCTCCCAAAAAAGACCACCCTCTGAATCCGAGAGATTTAGAGGGATTCACCTGGGAGGCTCTTTTCAGGTTGCCGTAATAATTGTGCATTGTGAACCCTAAATAAGTATATTTGGAGTGATGAATAATCAAAATTTTAATATTAAACAATATTTAGTTGGGGGTTTCTGGATATCATTCACACATGAACTCTTGATGCTACTAATATTTTCTGAACCAACTCACACTGTTAATATTTAACACCAAATAAGAATTCATTTTTTTTCTCCCTCATTTAATCTTGTATCTCCATCTACTTTGCTTTGTCTCTAGAAGGATTCTTTAATTTCTACTCAAACATCCATAAAGTCACATAATAAGTTGTTGGAAAGGGTGTTACTGATTTCGCCTGGACCTGTCCTGCTTATCCAAATGCTGTACTGCATGCTTGGTTTTCCTGGCAGAGGCAGTGTTACCTGATAAGGTGGGCTGATAAATAAAGTAAGTTACTTTGTCTCCATGGGGACAGACTGGCACCATTTTATCTTTTTCAAGTCCAGTCTCAGTATTAAACCTGCCCTTTGGAGCCATGCTTGACATACACAAGGCCTTGAGTTCAATCTCAGAACGAAAACAGAACAATAGCTAAAACAGACTTGCCTGTTCTTTAATAAGTTTGTGTGCTCTTGGTTTTCTCTTTTTTTTTTTTTTTTTTGGCGGGGTGGGGCAAGGCAGGTCATCTGTTTTGTAGCCTGACTAACCTGGAATTCACTCTGTAGACCAGGCTGTCCCCAAATTCAGAAAGATCCACCTGCCTGTGCCTCCCAGAGGCTGGCATTAAAGTCATCACCACCATGGCCAACTTGGTTTTGAAACAAAGTCTCACTCTAGCCAGCCTGAAACACACTATGTAGCCCCAAGTTAGCCTCAAATACATGGACACTCTTCATACTTCAGCCTTTTAAGTGCTGAGATTATAGATGAGTACCTCCATACCCTACTTCACAGGCTTTTTATTTTGGGAGAATTATTGCCTTCACACAAAGATGCCATGTGACTCAGAACTAATGCTGGCTGCCCTGCTCACTACCTTTCTCCCTCCCAGTCCCTGCCCAAGCATGCCCCTGCTGTAGACATACTTATGTGCCCTTGACGCCATCTGCCCTGCCCCACTTTGGTCCTGCCTCCATCGTCGCATGCCCTTTTCTTTCAACTTTGTGTACTGAGCTAAAGCGGTGTTTTGTTTTGTTTCTCTTATAATGGAGCGGGTCAGGTTGTCTGTTTCTCTGGTTTTGAGTCTGATGGTTTTTAGGTTGGTTGATTTGTTGGGGGGTTTTTGTTTGTTTGTTTGTTTGGTTGGTTGGTTGGTTTTGGTTTTGGTTTTTTGAGGCAGGGTTTTTCTACATAGCCCTGGCTGTCATGGAACTCCCCCTGTAGACCAGGCTGGCCTCAAACTCACAGAGATCTGCCTGCTTCTGCCTTCCCAAGTGCTGGGATTATAGTTGTACACCACTGCCACCAAGCTAGTCTGCTGATTTTTTAAGATATGTAAATTTATTCATAGACCACAGTGCCTTATTTTACCCCCACTACAATTGGGGCACCAGCATGCAATGCACAAACCTGTTTGGGGCACTGTTTCTCTGCCTGTCGACCTCTATCTAAAAATTACAACCTGGTAGTATTTTATTTTACTGTCCACTCATTCAGTGTGATAACTAATACTTAACTATTCCCTATACTTAACAGTTGTTTCAGTATAAGACTTCATATAGTCTGTGTTGTATCTCTGTTTTCTATTTCCTTTCTGGGATTAGAAGGAGCCCTGAGTACTGCTGGACAGACAGCTCAGTACTTTTAAGAATGCATACTGCTCTCGCAGAGGACCTGTTCAGTGCACCTGGTAGTTAGGTGCCCTGGTAGTTAGTCTACAGCTGCCTGTAGCTCCAGCTCCAGGGGACACCATGCCTTCTTCTGATTTCCGGGGATACCTGCATGCATGTGAACATAGCTTCTCACGGATCCACATACACATACTTTAAAACAAAATAAATCTGTGAAACACAAAAAGGAACCAGAAATGAGCTGATATAAACAATGATATAAACCCACCTCTCTCCCACCATATTCCTTCCACATGCAGCACAGTGTGTTTTATATGGCTAAAATAAAAAGATACTGCTACCGTTGCTGGTAGGAAGCTCTTTCCTGCACGGATGGATGGAAGTGAACTAACTACTCGTGTGTTTTCAGGGATCTCATTCCATGTGTCACCACCAAAGACTTCCACAGTGTTACACAGCATGTAAATGCTCTAAGATTATGTCAAACATTGGTTAAATGTATCTTTCTTTTTTGTACTTTTGGAGAAATACGTAAACCTTTATGATATTGCTATGATACTGTCTTATGAAATTATAAGTGTTTTTTAATTGGAATAGGCTAAATTTTTATGTAGTATCTTACATTGGAAAAACTAAGGAAATTTAAGTAGATCTAAATATAGAAATCTGAATACAGATTCCAAAGCTATTTCCTCTGTCCTCTCCTTTTTAGGCTGATTTATTTGTGAAACAGGTAAATTTTGAGAAGATTGTTGCTTTGTGATTTGTAGTATTTCTTAAGAAACATACCCTAAGATTAAAGTTTTCTGAAAAGAAAATCTTTTTTCCCTAAGTACTTTTAAGATTAGCCTTTTAAGGGTAATTCTGCTGACTGACCCTTTTTAAATATTGTATATTAACCCTTTTTGAGCATTGACTTTGACTTAACATTGTTTTTCTTCTAATATTTTTTTAACTCTGTGTACTTTAATACGTTAAGCGAAAATAATTTTATAAAATCTCTTTGTTAAAGCTGTCCTTGGGCCCCATATGTGGGTGACTCTACAAGTGTATTTTGGGAAATTTTTACAATAAAGTAAACTCATTATATTAGTGGCAACTGGGTATTTTCTCCTTTATGTGTCTGAATATATATGTTGAACTCTATGAATCCATGAATGTTCTTTATTATTCATTACTACTGACAGACAACATAGATATATATCCTTCAGATTGCAGCTGGCAGAACAAATCATGACTACTGTGATTTTCTGTAAAGCTTGACATTGGATTGTGGATTGTGGACACCAGACAGAGAAGCAGGGAAAACAGCTTAGGAACTCCATCACAGTGATTGACTGCTGTCTCCAGCATAAAGTATAACAGAAAATTCAGATTTATGGATCCTGGAAGCGTTCTGGAGTTTGGCCTGTGTGAGAGTCTGAGGCTTGCCTGCATCCAGTTTAAACTTTAGAGATAAATTCTATTTTAAAAGCCCGCCTGTGCCAGGCAGTGGTGTTCCATGCCTTTGATCCCAGCACTCAGAAGGCAGAGGCAAGTGCATCTCTGTGAATTTGAGGCCAGCCTGCTCTACAGAGTACATTCCAGAACTGCTAGGGCTACCCAGGATACCCTGTCTCGAAAAACAAAACAAAACAAAAAGCTCCCTTATATTTCTTCATTCTAATAGGCAGTATAGCATTGAAAATGGAGTTCCAAGTTACAGTTCTCAGCCCTCTCATGAGGCATATCCTTGGCATGACCAAACAGGGCTATAAATTTAAATAGAAATTCAAAAGAACACAGTGAACTTGTGAAGCACTTCAATGGTGCTTGGTTTTTCCTTGGGGTTTTATTTTCCCTTGAAGTGATTAACTGTTCTCACAGAAATGTGTGGAACAAGAAAAAAAAAAAAAAAAAAAACCACATGAGAGACATGCTGTTCCTGGAAAATATTCTGCTCTTTCGCCTGCTTATCAATATATGTTAGTCTTGAAGTCTCCTCGGAATGGCCTACAACAGGTAATGTTTTTAAATTCCTTTTTTAAAAGTGGCATAGACCTTTAATGCTATCAGTGAAGGCAGAGGCAGGGAGATCTGTGAATTCAAGGCCAGGTTTACCTAGAGAGTTCCAGGCCCAGACAGGCTACCCAGATAAACCTTGTCTAAACGAGTAAATTGCTTTTTAAAAGACAGGTCTTTGAGTTGGAACTGTTTTTATTTTCCTTTATTTTGTGTGCATCGGTGTTTTGCCTGCGCGTATGTCTAGGTGAGAGTGTCAGATCTTGGAGTTACAGATTATAGTGAGCTGCCATGTGGGTGCTGGGATATGAGTCCAAGTCCTCTAGAAGAGCAGCCAGTGCTCCTAACCTCTGAGCTGCCTCTCTAGCCCCTTGGACTGGACTTTTAAAGCACATGATAATTACCTGTTCTGTAGGTTACTAAAGAACTGTGCTCAACAGGAACTGCAGGTACCAGACACGAAAGTGGTGTGAGTGCATTGTGTACATGCAGGCAACACACCACACACTTTGGTTTTTCAAGACAAGGTGTGTGTGTGTAACAGCCCTGGCTATTTAAAGTAATTTAAAAATAATAATAATAGGAAAATTGTCATGTCTTTGTTTACCCAAGGGTGCCATATTAAGAAAGGGAAGAAGGCCAGGCATAGTGGCATACACCTTTAATCCTAGCACTGGAGAAGCAGAAGGAAGCTGATGTCCTTCAATTCAAGGCCAGCCAGGACTTCATAGTGAGACCCTCAAAGTAAAAGATGGTATTTTGTTAATGCTAATCAAGTTACCATCACTTTACATATCCAGGAACGCGCATTGATTGCCCGTTTATCTGTACAGTAATACGGTAATGTCTCAACACGGAGCCTGCGTCCAAGAAGACAGAATAACAATTCAAAGGGATTCATTTATGCTTTGAAAGAATAAATTTAGTGTTATCAAGTCTGTGTCTGCATTATTCTGGGATTTCTTGTAGGTCCTTGAACAATTCATTTGATTCTCGTGGAACATGATTTTTTTTGTTTGTTTGTTTATATTTGTGTTTTTGTTTTTCAGCAATACTTGGTTCCATTCTTGCCTTTACCTCTTTTAGTTTTTTGAAACTCTGTGTATCTTTGGCTGTCCAGGAACTTTCTCTGTACACCAGGCTGGCCTCGAACTCACTGCCTGCCTCTGCCTCTGGAGTGCTAGGATCAAGGGCGTGTGCCACCAATGCCCTTATCTCTTAACATTCAGTAGTGTGGTGAGTCTGTTGGCTCCAAAACATGTTCAGAATCTGAGCAACACATTCCGGTTTTCACATCCTGCTCATGCGTTCTTGCATGCATACATACGTGTGTGTGTGTGTGTGTACAGCTTGTGAGAATCTGTCCTCTGTACCATGTGGGTGCTGGCGATAGAACTCAGGTCCTTAGGTTCAGAGACAACCACATTTACTCCCTGAGCCATCTCTGGTCAGGAGCAGAAAGAACATTACTACATTTTCAGTGACTTAGCAGACTTTCACCATGACGTTCGACGGTCAGGTCCTCTCTCTAGTACTGTCAGTTTCACATGTTTTCCACAGGCTCCTTTGAGGAATACTAACAGAGAAAAGGCCGTGGGAGAGGAGGAGAAGATCAGGATAGGTTTTGGGGACCAGGATAGGGAAAAGACCTTATTCCAACTACCAAGGTTTAGAGAAAATGATTGAGAAGCTAAAGAATATGGCTACTTTTTTGTTTTTTGTTTTTTCTACTGTGATATACCATCAAAAACTACTTGAGACAGGTTGGATTAATCATCAATGCCACACCTGGTTTACGTTATCAAAATTTGAGAGATATGAAAGGTCATAGTTCCATGGGGAATCAATAGTAGATAACCTGGATTCATTAATCAGAACTCACCAGAAAAACAGTACCATTAGAGGGGGTAAAAAAAAGAGATGGAGGGTCAATAAATTAATAGGTAACAGATAAACAGATTGGTTGGTTGATTTTAAGTAATGTGCTTCTAGAAGCTGCCCAAACCAAACTTCAGAAGACAGCCCAGTAGACTGTAAGGCAAAGGAAGAGAATTAGTTTTTGGAGTGCAGGCACATGTAACTAACCATGTTCCCTGGATGAGGCCTGCTTACATTGTGGGGTGTAATGTTAGAGTCTACTTATTTATAACCACTTTTTTTGTTATTTTTGCTTTGTTTTGGTTTTTGTTTTGTTTTGAGACAGGGTTTCTCTGTTTTAGCCTTGGCTGTCCTGGAACTCACTCTGTAGACTAGGCTGGCTTCAAACTTACAGAGATCTGCCTGCCTCTGCCTCTCAAGTGCTGGAATTAAAGGTGTGTGCCACCACTGCCCAGCTTATAAGGTCAGCTTAACAATAAGAATGAGGAGCTAGAGAGATGGCTCGGCAGTTAAGAGCACTGTCCGCTCTTCCAGAGGTCCTGAATTCAATCCCCAGCAACCATGTGGCTCACAGCCATCTCCACTGGGATCTGATACCCTAATATGGCGTGCGTGTGTACATGCAGACAGAGCATTCCTGTGCATGAAATAAATAACTCTTTTTTAAAATATAAGAATGAAAGCGGGGGGTAGTGGTGCATGTCTTTAATCCCAGCACTCAAACAGTTGGGTCTCTGTGTTCCAGGACAACTTGGTCTACAAAGCAAGTTCAAGCAAAGCCAGGATACATAGTGAGACCTTGCCTCTAAAAGAAAAGAGGAGGAGGAGGTGGGAAGGAAGAGGAGCTGGACAGAAAGAAAAGAGACAATTCACTAGTGTTAATTAAATCGGTATAATGGCCTAGCCAAGTTGATACATGTATGTAGCCATCACAGTATCCTTAAAAATTACATTTTAAAAGGCACTCCACCTCAAAATAAAGCCGTTTCACTGTGTCTGTAGAAACTCTAAGTCTTTGCTCTTGTTTTCTTTTAGAAGGGGATGCTGTAGCTTAGGTGGGAAAAAAGCAACTGCACCCCAGCTTCTGGCACACCTTTGAGGTTCTTGCTGTCAGCCATCTTACCATACCTGCTTTGCAAACCAACCAACGAAGTGAATAACTCCCCAGGTCCTATTGTTGGAGACTTCAGACGTTGAGTCATTTCGTTATACTTTGGGGATCACACAATACTGAAAAAAGCTAATCTAGAAATGATTTTATATAAATATTACAGAGGTTTCAGATGTTTATCAGAAGATTGAGTCAACTGTTGTGTTCAGTCATTAATTTGGCTCTCAGCTTCTGTGGAGCGAGAGAAGATGCTTTTAAACTGAATAGGAAAAATAACTCACCATCAATTATTGGCTGAGACCAAACAGGAAGCGTTTGAAGAGAGGATGTGGCTACTGAGAAAAGCATATCCTCAGGAAGGGCTTTCCTTCCCCCGAGCCCTCCCACCAGCATTTGTTCCTGACCTCCTTCTCTTCAAACTACACCTTGTAAACCCTTTTATGTGCTCTGCTCCCAACACCAAGAATTCCTGGTGTTCCTCCCTACCCGGTTTCAACTAATAAAACACACACACAAATGGGCCAACGACGTTTCACACAGGGGATTAACTTGATTCAGTCTTTTAAGCTGAAACTACAGTTGGGACATACAGCAGGCGACAGTTTCCATATGCTATGTTCTAGGAGAGTAGAGCTGTTTTATTTATAGTTTACAACATGCTGTATAAAATTAAAGCTAGCAAAGGGGCTCCCAGGCAGGGAACTTAGACAAAGACCGGAGACAAAGAGCCCCGTTTTGCAATATTCTGAGAAGACGCCTGTAAATCAGCACCAAAGTTTATAATTTACCATTAAGCAATATGCAGAGGTGTTGTGTCTACTTCGGAGAAACGTAGAAGTTAGGGAGGATGTTAAAGAACGAGAAGGGGAAAGTGTGCTTCAGAAAAGCAAAGCTGAATAATTGTCGGTAGGAGTTGATCTTCTCCCCAAGGTCACACGACAGCAGGTTGATCTTTGACCCCACTGTCTCCGAGCTCGTCTGACAGCGTCGAGGAATAATTACTTCCTCATTTAGATTAGACAATGTGCTCTCTGCAAGCCGCGCTCCTCTAAATAGATTGGAGAGGGTAATTGAAGCAAGTTATCCTGGGAAGCCGAGCGAGCGGTCCC